ATGCATAAAATCTGTACTATTGATTTTTACTATAATACCTCGCATATGTTTGATTAATTAGTATATGAAATACCCCAACTCTACATGTAGTGAAGGTCATCTGACATGATAGCAAATGCCAATAAAAATGAACTCCCGATAAGAACTTTTAATACATTTTCGATTTTCGATTTCTCATTGGAACCACTGGAATATCAGGAAAAGAATGGAAGTTCAGTGGGATTCCAGTCTCCAGTCAACAACACTGAGCGACAGTGAAATTGACTTTAATAAGGAGGCGAAAAGAATCACAGATCTGGATATGCCGCAAGCAATAGTAACTAAACTCATTAATAACGTGGTAACTTTTTTTTTATAGATAACCTTTTCTTTTTTGTGCATTTGAACGTGATGCTTCCTTGGTTTCTATAGCGTGTATTTGTTATTTATATCCTTCGCAAAAGAAACATGCGTGCAAATATGTGACTATAAATTTTCTTTTTTTTAGTTATGTGGTGATTCAATAGAGGAAGAAGCAAAATTAGCCGTAATAAGATCCACCACTCAATTTATCAGTTATCTCACTTCATCGTATCCTTTTGTTCGTTGATCACTTTTACGCGGTTGAGCGAATTGATCAGTTTATCTTTCACTTACTATTCATAATACTTCCTATCTCTAATAGAGCGAATAAGATTGCGAAAAATAAAAACCATAAAAATATACAACCTGATGACGTATTTAGAGCCATAGAAGAATGTGAATTTGATGAGTTTTTACCGAAGTTAAAAGATGAATTAAATGGTTTGTTTATTTTCTGAATGTCATTTATTGATTATGAATTATAATTAATCAATTATGTACAGCATACGTGGAAATCAAAAGGTCTGCCAAAGCAAAACAGAATGAAGAGGAAAACGCTACTGGTGGACCACCTTCATCATCTATAGTAACAGATTTACCCTCTGATAGCGGAGTAAAAGTAGAGATTACAATACCGAACGGAGACCATGCTACGAATTTATATAGTTAAAAGTGCAGTGTTTGTCGTCAACGCTGATTAATCCCGTGTAACCCCAGACATTTTTGCAAATACATAAATACAGTATACTGTGAACCTACTCTAAATACATTTTTCACGCATATCCTCTCTAATATGCATGTTGTAGTCTAGTTCTGACTTGGGTTGAGTTACGAGTTTTTGGTAAGATTTTTTTAATAGTTGGGTTGGGTTGGGTTGGTTTGAAATTTGTTTCAACTCAAACCAGCTTGAGTATTAAGTTCTAATATAATACCCCGATCACTATATCAAGATCACGGGAGTATTATTATTACTAATACCCTAGTTTGGTCTTCAGTTTAGCAAACTGGTTAGAATATTATATTTAATACAATTATAACTCACTCCAGTCTGGGTTTAAACGGAGTGCTTCAAATGATATTCTAATTAACAATTCTAATTTTTGGGTGTATCTTTGAGCCAAAAGACGACTTTTCACAGAGCGATTCCGATCTAGTACTTGGGTTGGTTGGACATTAACAATACTAGTCCATTGTATTCATAGAAAAATTATCATGCGAACATTCTTTTATAAATTGTATAAGGCCTTAAGATAATAAAAATTTATTAGTACTGCGGGATTCCGATAGATTCCGATCTAAAATCTTAGATCATCGTGATTACGATCTGGTGATATCATTCACATAAAGTTGCAAAACTTGTTAAATAAAAGAATGGTGAAAGTTACTTCAAAAACCATAATTCAACCATTAGCAGCATTTTCAATGGCAATAATACTTGGCTTATATGTTAGACATGCAATTAATGATTCTAAAAGAGGAACACGTATGAAACAAGAGAGACAAGAGAGAAACAAACTGGTATCAGAGAAACAAAGGGAACTAAAATTGAACGAAGAAAAATAAAATAATTTTCATTCCGTGAATAACCGTATGCATATAATATTTATTAATTTATATTCCTTATTGTATGATCCTAAACATAATTAAACAATAATTTATTTATTTTGATTCCCGAAAATATCATTAATAAATTCAAGTATTTTGTCGGCATCTTTCCAGTAAATAACTCGCGGACTGATTCGTCTGTCCATATTTTTATACTTATGCGAAGACGGTAAAGTATCATTTAAACAATTTGCAAGCATGAACCCTTCACGAGCCAAGATGATATCATTACTAGTATACATAAATATATAAAATCAAATTGAAAAGTTGTAAAAATTATACTATAAGATGGAATGTAAGCATACCTAGACATTTTGGTTGCAGGACAGAAGTCATTAAAAGAGTCCCCAACATAAATAATTTGATCATATTCATTCGGATGTGCTGATAAAAACTTAATAAGTTCATGACCTTTACAAATATTTTCTGAACATGGATTTTCACATCCATGAGGAATATTATTTAATCTTCGAATATGTAATCTACCATCTTCGTCCCATGTAGCAGGATTACTGATAACGTTAGATATTAGATCGTTGACTTCATATGCCTAAAATTTGTATAATATCAATTTATCCGCGTTATATCTAAATTTGTAAACTATCCCACAAACCTTTAATATCTCCTCAATATACACCGTGTTAGCATCTGAAAGAATTATTATATCACCATTAGCGTTCTTAATCACTCTAAGCGCTTCAATCATTTCCGGCTTCTTTAAAAAATTAGTAAATTAAATAACAAATAAACACGGAAATATTAAATGTCTGCCATTAGTAATACTTACGAACGGAATTGCTGCAAATGCTTGCTTAAATTGTTGTTTAGTTATGCCTTGCCTATATATTTCACCAACTAAATAATTCCTGCAAATTTGAAATTTTATTATTGTATTTAATTAAAATTTTTTACGATTCCAGTTAATTAAAGAGTATTAATACATTAAATCAGTCCATTGATATTTTCCTCTTAATTTATCTATCTGTTCTGCGATTGTTGGTGACAATTGTTCAATTATCCAAACATCCGAGTTTTGGTCTATTAAAGACCTTTAATAATTAATAACTAATAGATTAGTTCCGAATCAATCTCTGGATTTGATTGTGAAAATGATTCTTTACCAATCAAAATCAAATACGACGAGACGTTTCATAATGTTTAAAATAGATAGCTATTGCTATTACTTGCTGTCGTTTAATTATTTCTGCCGATCAAGTCACGAGAAATATGTTAAGGGACTCGGATAAAAAAAATGCAAATTTTTGAGAGTTGAGTATTATGACATATTTAGAATAACGATAATATCTAAATGAAAAATATCGATATCTTTACTATGGTACGTAACAAGTATTGATACGTAACGTCTCAGGCTTCAGCCACCACAGTACTTAGGTTTTTTCTAGTATATTGAAATGTAACAGTTTATTTAAATTAGCCAATCGGGATTTTTAATGATTTGATCACTTGACTTATGATACATAAGTATCTAATAAAAATTAAAAAACCTTTCGCCAAGATAAATTCGGATCTGTAGTATATCTTTTAAAGCCTGACGAATTCTTAGTCAAAATGAGCGGTTGGAACGTCATACTGATAGGATTTGGTGCTGCAATTTTCATCGCACTTTCTTATATTGTGGTTCCAAAAGGACCAAATCAGACGTAAGTAATAATTCAAGACTTTTTAGCTCGGTAAAATATTTCCGAAAATGAGTTGGTGATAATTATCAATATTTTACAGCAAAAGGCTATGCAGATAATATTTATTTTTTTTACTGTTTCATAATATTTACGGCAAAATCAATTTCTCTTAAAACTAGGACGATACGGACCTCACTCATTTTAACAATCATTTGTTGTTATTTGATGTATGTTATTTTGGTTGTTCTCTCATTCTTAGAAAATTAATGTTTTTAAAATTAAATATTTTTATTTGCGAAAAAGGTGGGCAATTACCTATTTAGCTCAACTTCATCCTTTAATCACCCCTAAATCAACTGGAGGAATTCATGAAGAACTTAAGTTTGGTACGCTTTAGTGCTTGGATCCAATGGATATCAGGTTATTAATTGAAAACCCGCCAGATTATTGTATCCGGTCAAAACTATCCATTAAATATGTTCAGATTAACATTAATAAATTTATTTTAGAAAGTTAAGCAAAATTACCGGTACTTTCGCTGTATGATCTTGAGAAACTAGTAGTCTTCACAATTGATATTTATAATTCACCCGAAAAATTCTAATAATAATTGAATTTCTACTATTATTGTAGCCTTGTACTTCTCATTGTATATGAAAGCTCTATTATAATTTTCATGATATTGTTATAAATGCATATTAAAGAATTTATCTTTCTATTAAAGATTATTAAGTTCAGTCTTGAGACAATATTCTACCAACCTAGTTCATGTTTCTCTTAATAAGATATGCTCAAACAAATCAGCATTTACGAAGAAACATTTATTATTCATAAAATGTTTTGGCATCACCGGAAAGTTGTTCACTAAACGTAGAAGTAGCTGAAATACATAAGATTCTACCAATCCAATGGGCACTGATTATTTGAATTTTAGAAGCGCAAAATAAATTTTAATTCATTGTTCGTGTCAATATCTCGATTAGATGCATACATTGCCGTTAATGAATCATTTCATTATACTAATTGATGTTTGGCTTGATTCTTTAAAAAGCTTAGATTTAGCTATTAAATATGTTTCAACTTCGACTTTTTGATTACATGTAAATTCCCGTTTGTTTTGCTTCGAGAATCAAGAAAGGCTTCGTGGAAATTCAATTTATCATTAAATGTAATATCTGAATTATCCCTTTAACGATTTACTGATCCAGCCTGCAAAAAATTATCCAATGATTGCATATTTTTGACCTTGCAAAATTTACAAATATTAATTATATCATCAAATCATAGTTGTGTTATTTAGTCAGATCAGATATTTTAGCTATTGAAATTTAAATCCAGATAAATGTTTCAACCCGACAGGTTAAGTGTCACATCCGGTAACTGCTTTGATATGGATTCATACGACTTTTACAGGGGTTATTTCTGCTACCCGAAGGTGAAAATAAAAACAGAGAATTAATAAAATTAGATAAAAATGATATTGGCTAAAAGCTCTTTGCAAGTAGTTTTCCCAGTACGTAATAAGAATGGGGGTCCATTATTATTTATGTGAGTTGTACTATTAAAAACAATTTTGATCAAAAATTTGCAGGCAAATTTGCCTGCAAATCCTTTAAAGGGATATGCAACGCTGGGGTGGGCGGTTTATTACATAGTTTTATTTTTTTAAAAAAGTACTTTAAACTGTATAAATAATGTAAAATTAAATTGATTTAAACAGTCAATCATACAAAAGTCTTCCTATAGCATCAGAGATACAATATATACTTTTAATAATTTTTGACTACTCACCAAGAAAATAAATATTATTAGTAGCCTTCATTATAGACACTGAAATAATATTAAAAACTTCACTAATTCCAACTATGGCATTATCAACTACTATTGACTTAAACTAAAATAACAGCATTTGATGAACTTTATTTATTTTCTATAACCCACGTATTCATATTATTCGCATAATAATAATCGTTAAACCTTATTTGGTGCTGTTTGGAATAACAATCCAGTAATGTTTGAATAATTTTAGCATCAAATTCTGGTAAAGTATTCAATCCCTAAATATTAGAATACAAAACAAATATTATATTAAATAATGCCACAAATTTAATTTCTTGATTACATAATATGAAATTTTTAAACAGAACTGGCTGATCGGCTTTTGTTTTTAAATTTCATATAAAAAATTTTAAAAATTTTTATAAATTTTTTTTTAAAAACCCAGCCGGTAATTAAAAATATATGGGGTCTTTGCCTTAAAAATCACCTTCCGACATTTTCGATCGGGTTAATTTGGACAAAAAAAAACCCGAGTACCGGTTCATGTTCATATGCTAATCATCTTTTAACTTTATTGATTCAATAGTTTATTGAATAACTATTGAATCAATAAAAGTAAAAGATGATTAGCATATGAATATGAACTGGTACTCGGGTTTATTTTTGTCCGAATTAACCCGATCGGAAATGTCGGAAGGTGATTTTCAAGGCAAAGACCCCATATAAAATTTTTTTTACAAGTTTTCAAATATTGACCCAACCGGGTAATAAAAATCAATTAATTTGCATAGCCTTATATTAAACTACATTTCTCTTTTATCATATCTAACATACTATCTAATTGAACAGTAAAGGTTTCTTGTTCTGAAGAATTTGCTAAACCTACAATGCAAGTAAAGAATCACCATACTTATTACCGGTCTTTTGAGCAAATGTTTTAGCTTCTTAATTGAAAAATAAACAGATTAATGCATCAAGTATTTCTATACAGATTTTCGAAATATTTCCTAGAGAACTAAAAAAATCATTTTCAAATCAGTAATTAGTTTCACTAATATTTTCATAATCATATAACGTTTAAAATATTAAGATAAATTATATACTGAAGCTCACAAACCAAGTAATACAGCACAGTTAATTTCTTTATTCTCCATTTTTTTACTATTCTAACGTCTGAATATTCGGAGTAACATAAGATCTGGCACCTTGATACATAGTAAGATCTAAAAGTTTAAGTAACTGTTTCGTAAAATCTAAGCTTTGTAAGTTGGTAATTACAAAGATCGCAGATCTGGAGAACTTAACTGTGGATCTTAAACTTCGCTGTATAAATTGTGGATCTTAAAACTTAGTTTATGGATCTTAAAACTTCGCTTGTATAAACTGTGGATCTTAAAACTTAGCTTGTATAAACTGTGGATCTTCAAACTTCGCTTGTATAAGCTGTGGATCTTCAAACTTCGCTTGTAAAACTGTGGATCTTAAAACTTCGCTTGTATAAACTGTGGATCTTAAAACTTCGCTTGTAAAACTGGATCTTAAAACTTAGCTTGTATAAACTGTGGATCATAAAACTTAGCTTGTATAAATTGTGAATCTTAAAATTTCGTTTGTATAAACTGTGGATCTGTTCTGGCTTATATAAGTCGCAGATCTTAAAACTCTACCTTAGTTTGTATAAACAGTAAATATTCTCGAAATCAAAGCGAAAGTAAAATAAAAGTCAAAGTGAAAGTCAAAACGAAAGTCATAACGAAAGTCAAAACGGAAGTCAAACCGAAAGTCAAAGCGGAAGTCAAACCGAAAGTCAAAACGAAAGTCCAAGTGAAAGTTAAAGTGTAATCAAAATAATATTAATTTTAAGCATGATAAACACTACCGGCAATCAGTTTTCGAAATCGATATAAGCCAGCAAAATCTGGCTACCATTTTTTTGGGGCGAAGCTATGTAAGCTGAGATTAAAGTGGCTTAAATCTATAAATAGAATAGTTGATATATGCGATGTTTAATAAAGGTGTGTAAAATATATATCATGTGATTATTTAAAAATCATTTTTCACATGATTGATTTACTGTCGTTATAATTATGTCCAATATCAGTATGTCTGGTTCATGTTTAATAATACACCCCATGTGACATATTACCCATGTGATATTTAAATTTACCTAAACCTAACCTAAACCTAGTGTGTCCATATATTTTTGATGTATAGTAATTATAATTAAAATTACTAAATTCCAATATATACAGCTACTACTAATAAATTAATAATAATTATCTAGTTT